GGTGGGAGGTCAGATGCATTCAGCTTTCAGACTACTGTCTGGTCCAACCACAGGTGGGGCCTACCCCCTGCTGTTAAGGACAATGGATTACTTTTCCCTAAAGGCAGTCAGAAATCCACTATAGGTGGGATTCGCACCCTACTGATAATGATTTCTATGGAGAGCCAGAGAACAGGTCAAACTGGCTCAGTGATATCCAAAGTTAGCTGACATCCTGAATCTAGGATCCGCCCTACTTGTCACATGTATACCCCCAATCCCTCCCCTCTCTATTGTGTGTATACCCTTAGATCGTCCCCTCTCATTACTGTATTACCTATAGTACAACCCCTTCCTGTGACATATGTCTCTACTTGTAATTAGTGGGCTTGCACGTCCTCAAAGATATATAAGTAATAAGTTAGTAATAAAGAGCTCTCTCTCCCCCTGTCCTTGTTCCCCAATCCCCTTGCCCCTTGTCCTACTTACCCTCCCTCTCCTGCCCACATGTCTCCCATCTCCACGTGGACCACCAAGCAGGGCTGAGGTGAGCATTCTACCATGAAATGTGCCTGACTCCATTATTTCCATCTCTCTTCTATCTCATATGTTCTCTATGACTTTACTATAGTATTTACTTATTATCGCTGTACAATTGTGCTTACCGGACCGGTGATGATTTGTTAGGGGCTGGCTACCCTGACATTGACAGAATGATTCTTAGAAGCAAGGATGATGAGACTCGGTCCCAAGTATTTGGGCATGCTATCAAGAACCCCCACCCCAAAAAAACAAAAACAAAATAAACCAACAAAAACCTTGCTGACATTGAGGTGACCATACAAGACAGAGTAGTAATGTACCCATGTGATCCAATGACTGCAAAAAATAAAATCCAAATTGGAAGGAGGGAAAAGTATTAGAGCTTGAATTCTTAACACCTGGTTTGCAGAGGGATATGTATGACAGTGAGGCCCCAAATGCATTTGCAACATCCCCACATAGATGAAGCCTCTGGTAAAACCATTCTGATCATAGACCAGGGAGGTGACCAGCCTTGTTAGAGTGCATTGTGAAGTGGATAATTGCAGACATAGTTAGGTCAAAATATAGCAACTTTTATGGGGTTTCCCTTTTGACCCATTTCAAATTTGTTCCTATATTTAGTACTTTATGCTTATTAAATTGAGTTTTTTTCTGTTTAATTTTGTCACTGTTGTTGTTTTGTATGTTTTTCTATACATGAAATCCAGGATAGGTAAATCTATGGAGACAGTAACTGGACGATGGAGGGAAATGGGGAGTAATGAATACAAGAAAGAAGAAAGTGTTTGCAAATTGATTGGGAAGATGATTGACCAACTTTTTTTTTTTACCAACTCTTTTTTAATAAGATTGAACTATTACATTGTATAATGTGTGAATTTTATGTCAACAAAACTATTTTTTTAAATGGCCTGAGTTCACCCAGGAGCCCTGGTGGCAAAGCAGATTACATATTGGGCTGAGAATTGGCAAGCTCAGCAGTTTCAAATTGTCAGCTGTTCACTGGGAGAAAGATAAGACTTCCAGCTCCCACAGAGTTATATTCTCAGAAACTCGGGGGCAATTCTACCCTCTTTGTCAGGTCATTATAAGTCAGAATCGACTTGATGGCTGTGAGTTTTGGGTGAAGTAAGCCATGACTATGTGACTCAAAATGGCCAATACCAGTCCATCTCTGCTCACTCATTTTATTGATCGTTATGCATTCTATTTGATTTTGATGGCTTCTAATTTTCCTAGGTTCATACTTTGTATATTCTATGATATGCTTTTTAATGGATGTTTCCAGTTTTGTGATCTATTTTGAGTCATCCTTCACAAGCAAATAAAGATCTTGAATGTTTTTTTCCATCCATGTCCATAAGTGTGATTTAACTTAGAGAGTCTGCACTTTCCAATTTCTATTGAGGGCTTCATCTTCTGACACTATTACCTGATAATATTGTTGCTATCCATAAGGTTTTCAGTTTCTAATACCTCAGAAGTGGACAACATATTCCTTCTTTGTAATTTATTTTTTAGTCTGGAAGCTCTACAGAGATCTGTTCACCATCAATGACTGTACTGGTATTTCAAATACTGGTGACATAGCTTTCAGCCTTAGAGCAACAAGCAAGCCACTTGTGTCAGACAGGGTTCTCTAGAGAAACAAAACCATGACACTTATGATTATATATGTATATAAATATATATCTATATATATGGATAGATATATACAGCATGAAGGAATATAAGTCCACATAGCAGTACAGAGGGCTCAGTTCAACTCACTTCCGTGGAACAGTTAGTATACTGGAAGTCCTTCAACTCATTAGGGCTGCTGGGTTAAAGATTAAGAAAGAAGACAGCTGAGTCTTCCCTCAGGCAATGCAGGCAGAGTCCACCCACAAGCAGCAAACAGCAGGGTGGGTCACCAAAAGTCTGCAGCTCAGGAACTTAGAAAAGCAGGCCCAGATGGGATATTGAACTCAAGAAATGCAAGATGAGAGCAGCCGCCAACCTCATGCTCAAGCGATGTCCAGCAGCATGGTGAAGCAAGTCTCAAAGGAACCTCAAGCTCTAGTGACAGGATCCATGGGTTGGCTGTGCCACAGGTTGTGTAGCTCATGAGTTGAGGCAGAAAACTAGCTAAGGCAGCCACAAGATGGTCTGATCACCAGAGCCCAGGAGAAAGAGAGGTGAGGTTTGCTGAGCCAGCCATCTCTTTGCCCTCCAATCAAACTGTGACCCTATTAATCCCACATGTTCCTATTGGCCAGGTTGGCATAATAAACCTATCAGAGCACAACAATATGACAAATGGACAGATGAGTGTCAGCATAGAGATTAAGATTTACAACACAAATTTTATACACATAGTTCAGCCCATGAGAGGCATTCCACCCATCTCTATTGGAATGGGAGACATTGATCATGGAAAGGACAGGAGTCAGTGAGGCATAGTGTCCCTGGTGCCAGGAGTGGGTTAAATCCACCACCTCCTCACACCCCACTCATAGGAACACAGACACATTGAGACACCATTCACAGAAAGAGAAGTCAGAGGTCTTTTTCACATTTTATTGTGGATTAGGTGATGGCTCACAGAGCAGACCATCTAGGTTATGTTCAACAGTCCATCCACATTTTGTTTCAAATCATCCATTATAATTCTTTCAATGTAATTCTCCCAATCTACTTTCTCCCTGTTTCTGTTACTTCTTTTTCCCTTAACTACAATGCAGTGAATGATTTAATATGGCTTTCATTCCCAGCAAAAACAAACCAAACAAACCAAACACAAACCAATCACCTCACTTCAACTAAGTAGATTTCAACTCACAGTGACCCCATAGGACAGAGTAAAATTGACCTGTAGGTTTCTGAGGCTGTAACTTTTTATGGAAGTAGAAAGCCTCATCTTTCTTTTGCAGAGTGGCTGGAAGTTTCAAATTGCTGATCTTACGGTAACCCACTGTACCACCTGGACTCCTGATAGCCCTTGATACTCTCACCAAAATGACCTACGCTTTCCTGATGAGTCTGGGTAAGAGGATGAGGGAAGATACTGATTTAATTATACGATTCAGCTATGACTATCTGTTAATGATGTGATTTGTAATTGTAATTCTGCTGAGTATGAAATCCATCATCTCAGAAGCAGGAAGGAGATTTTACTACCAGAGAGAGAAGATTCAGGTGTGGAGTGTATCATCTAAACCCTAAGTCCCTTCACATTAAACCTCCTTGATTCAGGACATAGCTGTGACACCATAGGAGTGGCAGAGGAATAGCAGCACCAGCAGAACCCGGAGTAATAAGACAGAGTGGAGGACTTCAAGTCCATGGAGCAAATGAAGATGAGTGCTTTTGGGTGGGAGGCTGGTGTGTGGACTTGGGTACCTCCAGGTACTTAATGAAGGGAGCTGGGTATGCTGACTCATAGGACTGGAGCTGAGTTCTGCCAGGTTGAGGCTCACAGTGGAGTAGCCCTTTAGGCATTGATTATGAGCCATGAAAAACTTTGTAACATTGTCCAAGCAGGGAAGATGCTAGGCTAAGTGACTGAAGGCCAGAGAGACACCTGCCTATAGGCACAGCAGACTAGATATTGACCTAATAGCCGAACTTTATCCTGGATATGTTTCACTTAAAATGTAACCAGTTAAGTCCATAATAGTGAACCTCATCTGTGAGTTCTGTGTGGCCATTTCAATGAATTATTGAATCCAGCTACAGATATAGCTTGTTGTGGGAGGGAGCGATGGTGTCAGAATAGGGTCAAAAGGGATGGAGAGTGGAGGCAGGTCTGATTTCTTCTTTGTGGCAAGTGACCTCAGGAGCTGGAGGCATGTAGATTGGTCTACATGCCTTTGCTGCCTTAACCCTCTAAAGCTTGACATTGGGTAAATGCTTCTTTTTTGATATCCTTTGGTTGACTCAAACCCAGAGGCTGGTTCTGTTTCACACCTTAAGGATGACTAGGGGCCATTGTCTTGAGGTTACCACTTGTCTAGTCCTCTTTATTAGAAGTCAGGGGCTCTTGAGGTCACAGAAGGGGCTGGTGGACAAATCAGGTATCACTCAGTCCCATGTAAGGCAGCAGTCTCACACTATAGAAGAAAAGAACAATGCAGAGATTCAGGTCACTTTTGGGTGTTTACATTCTCAATAGCAGCCCATGGCAATCTGGAAATATGCAAAACCAAAGATTCCTCCTAACCCACTTAAGTCTCCTGTGGTCCCCCATGGTCTCACCTTTAGGAGAGGGGAGGGGCACTTCAGAGCCTTGGGCATTGTCATAGCCTGGAGAAGGACAAAAACAGGATCTTGTCATGCTGTACCCCAGGAAATGAGACCAGGAGAATAAGAATGAGGAGGTAAGGGGTTTCACCATGGGTTTCCATCTATACTATCCCAAGGATCTCTGTGTTAGCCTCCCTCTCCCATACTTACATGCAGTTTGAGCATAGCTCCCTCCTTTTCCACCTGTGAGAACAAAGCATGATGTGTAAGATTAAGGAGGAGAGAGGCCCCAAAAGTCCTAGAAGAACTGGTTTTTCTTGGATACCAGAGAAGTTTCCAAAACTGACTGCAAAACCAGGGCAGGATAAGAAAACATAAGAAATATGTGCAGATATTCAACCAACTACCCTGCTGGAAGTGTGTCCTTAGCTGGAATCTTTGCCTGTGGCCTGTGACTACTAAGAATGAGGTGTCCATCACCAGAACCACCAAGATGAAAGATTATCCTTCATTTTCACATGTGCTTTATGGAAGTGGAAGTGTTGGCACAAGGGCCCAGCAAGGACAGCACATGTGAGGGCAGTACTTGGACAAGATATGAGATGGTCTTGAAATTCTACTATCTGTAATTTGAGACTTTCCAGTGGGACAAGAAAATTCCAATCTCACTCCCTGTCTACCTGATTTCTTCCTCCAAATCACAGCAGCAGCCACTGCAGCTCCAACGATTACAGTTCCTAGGAGAATTAGGCCAACAATGATTCCTGTGATGGAGGCGGTGGGCTTGGAAGACCGTTCTGAAAAGAGAAGGGAGGTGAGGAGCTCTGGTGTCTGGGAAGCCTCCAGAAAGGCTCCTGCTTTTCGTGAAATGAGGCTTCACCCTTGTCCCTCTCCTTACTCCATCTCAGGGTGAGGGGCTCAGGCAGCCCCTCATGCTGCACACGGCATGTATATCTCTGCTCTTCTCCGATGGGAACCAGTATGGCTGCCCACTTCTGGAAGGTTCCATCCCCGGAAGGCCTGGTCTCCACAAGCTCTGTGTCCTGGAGCTGGTCCTCCTGGTCCCGCTGCCAGGTCAGGGTGATTTCTGAGGGGTAGAAGCCCCGGGCCCAGCACCTCAGTGTGGCCTCGTCTTCAGAGATGGGGTGATGAGTCACATGTGTCTTTGGTGATTCTGAAAGAATGAATCAGAACATTCAAGAACTTTCCATTACCTCATCTGGGCCATTGATCAAGTTTTGTGTGATCATTCTAAAATGGACACGGCAATCTTAGAAGAGGAGCGAGCTGCCTAGACAATGGATTTGGGATCATTTTTAGTCTCTGAAATGTTCTAAAATCAGGGTGGGATACCTCAGAATAGGAGGCTCCAGGGGTCTAATGGGAGAACAGGGATATTTAGTTCCTACTTGGATGGGCGAATTTCAGAAACTCAGAAAAGCTGGACTCAGACCTGCACATACATTGTGCATGGGACAGAAAACATGGTTTAGGAAAGAAAGACCCTTTCCAATTGCCAGATCAAAGAAAGCTGCTGGTCAGTGAGGGCATCACCCTTACAATCCACACACAAAAGCCCTGGTGGTGGTGCAGCAGTTATAGTACTTGACTGTTAACTGAAAGGTCAGCAGTTAGAACCCCTCCACCAGCTCATTTTTGACAATGGCCAACAGACATTAAATAGAGATTGAACTGTGTCTTTAATAAATGGTGCTGGAAAATGTGGGGATATATCTTCAGAAAAATGAAAGAGGAATTCGATCACATTTCACAGGATGTTAGCAGAACCACACTCATAAAACCCTAGCTAGATCAGAGACCTAAAGGTAAACTGTAAAAGTATACATGCCATCAATGGAAATAATGAAACATATTTAGGGACCCTGATACATGGCAAAGATATCCTATAACATAACTGAAAACACATGAATGGTAGAAGATAAACTAGATGTTTTAGACCTTTTAAATAACATAAGCAAACATGCATCAAAGTTTTTCAACAAAAGAGAACTCGCAGATAAGGAGTACACTTTGGTAATGTCTTATTGGGCAAAAGATTAATCTCAAAAATTTATAGTAAATTTCAACATGTTGACAAGGAAAAGGCAAATACTCTAATTTTAAAAGAAGCAGAGGACATGGACAGAAGAAAACATTCACCAAAGTACGTATTCCGGCTACCAAACCAATATGGAAAAATTTTGTAATCATTAATCTTTTCAGATGCAACTTAACACAGCAAGGAGACACCATCTCACCTCAGCATTAGTAGCAAATAACAAATGCTGGTGAGATTGTGGAGAGACTGTATCCCTCATACATCACTGGTGGTTCTCTAACATGGTGCAACCACTGTGGAAAACAGTGTGGCACTTCTTTTAAAAATGGGTCATACCATATGATCCAGCAATCCTATTTTTTGCCATATGTCCTAGAGAAATCAGAGCTGGAAACAAAGAGATGAATGCATATCCATGTTCATCTCCCCACTATTCATAATAACAAACAGACAAAAATATCACCAAAAAACATACAAACCCTAAATATTCAACAATGAAGAATGGGTAAAGAAGCTGTATGACACAGACTGTAACTCTTTAGGAGAGGAACGACAATGAGTCCAATGGATTGATGGATCAAGTGAACATCAGCCTCCATGACTCTGAGACCACAAGAAGTAGATGGTACAGGGCACTACTACCATCTGCTGAAAAGGATCAGATTAGAAGGTCCTGGATAGAGTGGGAGGAAAATGCGGAGCAAAACTCAAAATCATAAAAAAGACTATGCTTGATATGGAGGACCCTGGGAAAATGGAATCTAGAAAATTGGGATGTAAGGTGAAGGAGACTGAGAGGTGGAGTCTTGAAATTAGCACTAGGGTACTACAATCTGTCCTGACCCCGTTTTTGGTTTTTGTGGTTTTTTTTTGTGATTTCCACTCACAAAGCGAACTAAGGATGCACTAAATTGCTCTAGGTTTGGTCTGCTGGGTTTGTGGGCTCCAGCTGAAGAGCTAACTCTACCCTTTTGCAACGAGTAGCGATTTCCCCAGACTGACGCTGTATTAGTCTAGTTACTTTGGAGAAACAAATCCACAGCGACTCATGTATAAGAGAGAGTTTTATGTAAAGAAAAGGTGCATCACGAAAACATCCTAACCCAATGCTGCCCAAGCCCACA